TATTGATTACGCCTCCCCCCTCCCTCCTCTCTCTATCTCTCTCTCTCTCTCTCTCTCTCTCTCTACGAAATCTGCCTTTGATTTCGCTCCTCTCCCCTCCCTCTCGCTCCTCTCGTATCACGAATTTTTGCCATTGTTTTCTGCCCTCTCTTTAAGAATTCTGCTATTGATTTCGCCTGTCTCTCTCTCTCGCTGAAATTTGCATTTGATTTATCTTTCGCTACGATTTTTGCCATTTTTTCTCATCAGCATATAATGGAGAAGTTCAATAGAGGCCTTCTTCTGTTTTTGTTCCTATTCTTCTCTCTCTGTTTGGCTTCAATGGCAGGGAAAGCAGAGCGTCGTTTTGTGAGAGAAAGCATCTCTTCAAACGACATTGTGATTTTCTCCAAATCCTATTGCCCGTAAGCTTATCTCTCTCCAGCTCTCTCTCTAGATTTGATCAGGTCCAGGGGTTTTTTTTTTCTTTTTCTCTCTATCACTTGCATTTCCTGTGTATTTTTTTGGATATGGCATGTGAATCTTGTTGCTTATGCCCAATTTATATATCTGTTATAGTGGGACTTCAATTTGCTTAGTTTATTTTGTTTTCTTCGTCAAATTCAAAAGAATCATTTGGTTTTCTCATGGATGACGAATTTCTGTGCTAGAAAAACGCTCGGAAAATTTATTGGGTTTTTTTTGTTCGAACAAAAAAGCAGCTAAATTGAACAGAGAGATTTTTCTTGTTTGATATTGATTTTGAGATGAAAAAGGTAATACTATAAGAATTATCTCATTTATCGTAGAGATCAAAGTATATTTTAGGTTTATATTTATTGCCTGTTACATCGATTATAGACACGGATTCATATGTTAGTATGTGACACGGATACAAGTGTCAGATATGTTAATATCAAAATTGACATTTCAGACATGAGAAGACTGTATGCCACTTAAAAAAAGGGGGAAGTGAGATTTCTTGAGATAAGGTACTTTTATATCATAACTTCAAGAAAAAATGTTAAGACAAAGTGTCCAGGCTGCTAAAGTGTGTAATCGTCTTCTTGGTGTGTTGACATGCACAGAAAACCTTTGACACGCATGTCCATGTTGCATAGCTTTTTGTGTAGTAGAAATTTATGTTTTTTATTGAACTTTCCATGCCTTGCTTCACACTTGGGGTTCAAAAGTTCAGTGATATTTATATAATCGAATGGATAGTTCAATGCCATTATAACTGAAATTTGGAAAACTACAGGGCTTATAACCATGCCCGATAACTTTAAAAGGGAACAGTTAGAGTTGACAATGTGCATATTGTGAATATTATGTTGATTTTATGCTCTTCACCTCTATTCAAATTTCAACATCCCTTTGTATCTTCATGTTAACATATGCATGTTTTCTATTGAGCTCTCCATTCCTTGCTTCAAACTTTTAGGGTTCAAAAGTTCAGTGATATTTACATAATTGAATGGATTGTTCGATGCCATTATAACTGAACTTTGGAAAACTATGGGGCTTATTACCATGTCCAATAACTTTGGAAACCTTTGTATCTTCACTGTTCTAGTGTTATGCAAGAATGGCTAACACAAATTGATTTTGGGTTTTCAATATAAGTATATTAGGAAGAAATACATTGAGGATTGGATGTTGTAGGACTGGGATCCATGACATAAAAATTGGGCGGTAAAGTAGATATGATGCATATAACAATGTTGTTTTTATATTCACAATATCCTTTGTCTTTTTCAGTTCGCATTTTCTTTTGTGGGGTTTAGTTCGAATGATCTTTGTCTTGGATAGCCATAAAAAGTAAAAACAACTATCTTGATTTCTGTAAAACAATGCTATGTATTATATATTGTTACGGATATAGAATTTAAAATGGTTGCACCTAATGACGTATAAATTGGTTGAGTGTCCTTGATGGTTAAGACTTAATTTGAAATTCATTTTTTTTACTGGATTTCTTTATTTCTTTGTGGATTATTTTTTATACATAGAAAAATTTCTATGTTAATTGTTGCAATGTACTTGTCTTAATCACATAAATGGGAGAATATTTATGACCTTGAGAAATCCGGTCGAGAAAACTTGGTTGGGCTATGAATGACTTATTCAGGTAAGCTTTCCTATTGTTGCTGGCACCAAGTAAGCATTTTAGTTCTAATTTTATTGACTTTTTGATTGGCGGGTAAATACAAGAAAAATTAATGTTGGGGTCTAGGATGTGATACAAAAAGTATTGGGGGGCAAGATGTCTACAAAGTTCATTTTGGGGGGATATCTATAATTTCCCTAAATATGATGAGTTTTCTCACTGAGTACTAATAACATCAACGTCAAGTTATAACGTGATAACATGGGTGGATTTTTAATTTTTCTATTTTTTAGTTTATGATTGACCATAAAATTTTAACCCATCTATTCTTTGTTCATGTATCTTAAACCACTGCTGAAATTTGTGATAGACCTTGGTAGTAGGATAGCTTATCTTGATTAAGGGTCATCTTTATGTTTCCAATACATTAAATGGTAGTTCCTGATAGGCTAGCATTGTTTATGAAAGCATGATAACTACAAGGAAAAGAATTACCTTGAGTAGCAAGAATTTCAGTAATATGACATGCTGCTGCATAAATATGGAATTGACGTATCCATGCTATTTTTAGCTAGCTTAATTAGAGAAAGTACAACATAGAAGTCTCTGATACTTTTTTCCTTCTCTGCAGCTATTGTAAAAGGGCAAAGTCGATTTTCAAACAGTTGAACAAGACACCTCATGTCATTGAGCTTGACGAAAGAGGTTAGCCTGCTAACACCCTAATTATATCTCAATACTTTGTGTATGGCGCTGTTGACGAGACACTCATTATAATATTTTTCTTTTTCTCATAATGGGATTGATAGCCTTCTAACTTATATTATGGAAGTTTTGCCTTCTACCTATCTCTTTGATTATCGAAATAAATGATTTACTGTTATGGATAAAATTGTCAAGGAATTCCAGCTCCATTCCTTCCTTTCCATATTTTCTATGTTTCTAACTGATTTTACCACTATAGCAATTGTTAGGTGCAATATGTCATTAAATTTCAAATATCATTTTGTAAAGTGGTATTCTAATGGATTGGATGTTTCTATGTTTTGGATGTTTCAAATATCATTTTAGCAGTGATGCCCATACATCATATTTTTTTTTCTTGAAATTTTGTTCCTACTGCTGTCCTTATATTTTTCACTTTGTCTTACTTCTCAAATGTTTGAGATCAGCCTCAAGGTTCGAACCTAACGTCAAGTATGTGACAACAAGTACCTTCCAAGAACCTAAACATGGGGAGCATTATTGGTCAATGGAACATAATCCCACTCCAACTATGTTTCTTGTGGTGAAACCCTTTCAAAAGCATCAATATTTTTGTTTCATTAAATTTCTCCTTATCCGTTGATCCTTTGAACTTAAATGCTTAGGGTCTTTTTGGATAAAGACGTGGAGCTAATGAATTGCTCCTGAAGGAAAAGTTAGTGTTGTTGAACATATCGGGAGAAGAGTAGAAGACATCCATACTCACGTATATAAAACAATAATGGTGACCAACCAATTGGGGGTCTCTATGTTCTAACCAAAAAGAAGATGGGTGGAGCTTTAAGTCATTTGAACGTAAGGTTTGATAGAAGTCAATTATAGTGAAAAGTACATCAAGGAGGATTGCTTTCCTCCATCATAGCAAAAACTAGCAACTTTTGTGTTACATCCTCAAGAATGATTTTGCTTTTTGTTATGGCGTTATAGTTGTTCCATGTATTGTAGTCTTCTTGCTTTTGTTCAAGACTCTTTGATATTTATGTCATCATCATCCGAGCTTTATCCCAACTATTTGGGGCAATGTTTCAAAAATCTCTAGTCGGCACCTAGGTGACCAGGGGGGTCCAGGCGGCCCAGCGCCTAGCGGGCACTTAGGCAGGCGCCCAGAACTTGGGCGGTCCAATAGAAAGAAAAATGTTAGAATTTTTATCCATAACTATATACCAAATCTAACAGTATAATTATATAACTCATAGTCCATAATCCATATTTTCATGAATGAGGAGAATTTTGATAGTCCATAATCTATATTTTCATACAATGTGAGAACCATACAAGCATACACACAAGAGTTAGATAATAGAAACTAGGAACTAGAAACTAAACATAAGAAAAAGAAAATATACTGAAATTTTCAGAAAACATACACTCTAGGACTCAATAGTCAACAGTCAACACCAAGAGTCAAGCGTCTTCAACTCTTCACTCTTAGTCATCATCATCATCAGACGGAGTAGGGTAAGCCCCATCATATGTATAAGATTTGAGGCCATCATCATTATTGTCTTCTCCCTCTTCAACATAACGCTCGTCTTTCTCTGTTTCTTCTAAATCTGACTCTTCCTCCTCTTCTTCTACTTCCCTCTTACTTTGTGCAGATGAGTCCATACAAGTCTTGGTTGCTATACCCTTTTCTTTCGTTTTGTACTTCCTTAAACTCAAAGATTGTATAACCTCCTCCCTGGTAGCCCCATGAACATTTTTACACGGGGCAACATCCCCCTTAATACCGGCAAGGTATTTTTTGAATTGGTAAATGCCCTCATTAGTATCCTTTCCATAATAATAATATTTAATACGATTTTTGTCATTCGGATTCGGGTTATGACCATACTTCCAACTCGGATCACTACTTCTAGAAGAACCTAGAGAAGATATTTTTATAAACAAGGCTCATTTTCATCATTTTCTGGTTCTACTAAATTCACAGATTGTTTAATTTCATCCTGAATAGCTTCAGGAACCTTTTTACAAGAAGCAACATTCCCTTTAATATCGGCAAGATGTTTCTTGAATCGATTAATAGCCCTATTGATATTTTTTTCACAAAACTTACACCTTATACAATTTTCATCGTTTGGTTTTGGGTTATAGCCATACTTCCAACCCGGATCACTTCTTTTAGCAAAACAAAAAATAGACCTATCCAAATGACAAGGATTTTGTTCCTGTTTGTGTTTTACTGAACTCATATATTAGTGAATCTCCTCTCTGATAGCTTCAGGAATATTTTTACAAGGGGCAACATTTCTCTTCCTTTATTCTGATAAGATGTTTTTTAAACTGGTTATATCCATTTTGGCCCTTTTGTATCCTATTCACAATAATTGCATTTTATGTAATTTTTGTCATTTTATTCGGGTTATATCCATATTTCCAATTTGGATCACTACTTCGACTAGATCCTGAAGAAGACATCTCAAAATAATAGAAGCAATCTAAAAAATAAAGTTTTGCACTTATTTTGATTGCTCGAATTCTAAACTCCCACCTCTGAGATGTTTTCTAGTGCTAAAATATTCAAAAACACTATCTAATAGGACTAAAAAACTCTAAAACTAAATATGATCTTAATGGGTGATGTTTGGATCCATTTCCTATAACTTTGAGAAATATTTCGATCCAATGAAAATCACAAAATCTAGTCTTTTTTTGAGGTTTCTCTCTCTAAAATGGGCTCTAGTGGGTTTAGGTTTTAAATGAATCGAAAACTCACCTTTAAAAACAATTTTTTTTCAAAAAAACCCCAAAACAACCCTGAAGAAATGGTATTTCCACCCCTAGGCGGCTGCCCAAGAACCGCCCACCTAGTTTGGCCGCCAAGGCCTTCTAGACCACTTAGGCGTTGCGCGGTCTACTTTTCAAATCACTGATTTGGGGTCGACTACATGAATCTTATTTCGACATTCTTCTCTATTAAGGGTCATATCCTTAGTAAGATCATAAGTCACCATATATTTTCTCATTATTGCCATCCATATTATTTTGGGACTTTCCTTTGCCATTTTAGAACCTTCCACTTGAACCAAGTGATTGAAATTGTACCTCTTAACCAGTGTTGTATTGGCCCTACGCTGCACATGGGCAATTCACCTAAGTCTACTTTCTCTTATCTTATCACCTATTGGAGCCACATTTAAATTCTTTTAAATGTTTAATTCCAAATTCTATCATTTTTTCTTTTGTCGCTAGTCCATCTCAACATCCTCATCTCAGCTACACTCATCCTATGAATATATTATTTCTTGACTGCTCCACATCGGTTCTATAAAGCATGGTTGGTCTATAACTATTCTATTGAATTTCCCCTTCAATTTTATTTAAAGGTGGCGATCACATAAATCTTCAGATGTACATCTCTACTTTGCCCCCCAACACTAATTCTATACGTGACATCTTCCTCAAGCTCTCCAATCTCTTAGATTATCGACTCAAAATATAAAGAATAATCTCTTTTAGGTATTTCTTGGCCATCAATTTGAACTACTTCCTCTTTCCTATTCCTATTATTACTAAACTTGCATTCTATATATTTTGTCTTAGTCCTGCTAATTTGAAAACCTTTACATTCCAAAGTGTCATTCCAAAGTTGTAACTTTGCATTGACGTCACCTCTAGTCTCATCAATCAAAACTATTTCATATATGAATACATATACTGTGGTACCTCAGCTTGTAGGTGCCTAGTTAACTCGTTTACAACCAAAACATTCTCTGATGTTTATATCATCATTATTAAAATCTATAGCTAGGATATAGAATTTTTATATTTGGACCTGTATATTCAGTTTTAGATATATACTTGGTGTAAGCACAAGCAAAACAGGGCAACAACATACGGAAGGGGTTCATATAATCTGTGTGTGTTTGTGTGTGCGCACTTATGTGTGGAAGGGGTTAATATAAGCTCTCTCTCTCTCTCACATATGGAAGGGGTTAATATGAACTCTCTTTCTCTCACTCATGTATGGAGGGCGATAATAGAAATTCTCTCCCAGTCATATAAGGGAGGGGTTAATATAAACTCTCTCTCTCTCTCCATGCTGGACGAAGTGTTGTTTACTCATGTTCACGTTTATAATTTTGACGGATTAATTTTTACAGATGATGGAAGTGATATTCAAGATGCTTTGGGTCAGATGTTCGGGAAGCAAACAGTACCTCAAGTGTTTATCAATGGAAAGCGCTTAGGTGGATCAGATGGTAAGAACATTAATTTCTCTCATGTTTGTGATGTTCCTAAGGGGAAATATATAATCCAATGGAGTAAAGTATGGCCATCCATCATTGGGAATGGATGGTGGGTACGCCTTTGTTTTACCTGCCATTAGCACTCCTGCTGAATCACTTTCTTCATTTTTGCAAGACACTCCTGTATATTTCTAGTTGACACAAAAATCAATGACAAACTAATAATTTGTATGTTTTCTTATACTGAAATCGTGCATTGATAATATCTCAGATACTGTGGAAGCCTATGAAAGTGGAGAGTTGGCGAAGCTCCTTGGAAACAATTCTGGGGATGACCTCTGAATTAAAAAAAACTTAGGTGATTTTTTTCTCATTTATGAGTATATATTTAGCTTTTGTTCTACTTTTCTCTTGTTGATTTTGTTTCTTCTCTCCATTTTTGGTTTTTGCAGAGTCTCTTTGGCGATGCAGTTGTGCTACCTGTTAAACAGGTGCAGATGATGGGTTTTTGGATTGAAATAAAACAATGATAAATTATCACATATTAGTTTCATAGAGTTGACTTCTTATCGTTTTTGCATTCCTCTTTTATTTTTTATTCAAATTTTGGCTTTTAGAAACGGCCTTCACATCCATCACTAACCCGCTCACTAACCTTCACTGAAACCAAATTCCCTGACCCATCACCAGAATCCTCCCTCTCTATCAGACTACTTTTCCCACATTTGAGAGAGGGCATGGGGAGTTTGAAAGTTGCAAGAGTTAGATGAGAAAGTTTGTGTTTGTGAGAGAGAGAGAGAGAGAGAGCATGGGGATTAAGAAAATTGCAGGAATTATAGGTGAGAAAATTTGTTTAGTATGTCCAATCTTCATATATTGTTGTGTATATTGTTCTAGCAAAAAAAAAAAAAATATTGTTGTGTAAATGCATCCTCATTGACAGACCTAGTATGATTGGGTTAAAGCCCATAGCTGAAGGCAGTTGCATCATATGTGAGCTTGTGGGCTCCAATCCGTCTAACCTACTCTCTCTCTCTCTCTCTCTCTCTCTCTCTACTACTAACTAAC